GCCCCTTCTTGTGCAAGAAAAACCCTCTTGCGCAATGCCACTATGCTGATTATTTTCAGGAAGAACGGCATTGCGCAAGAAGGTTTTTCTTGTACAAGAAGGGGCAGTGTAGATGCTCCTTCTGGCGCAAGAGCCTCTTCCGCAAAATGGCGGCTCATTAGGTATGCAAATGAGGCTCGACAATATTCCACGCTTAGCCTCATTCGCATACTTCTGGCGCAAGATCGCGTCAGTGTAGACATAGCCATGGTGTTTTCTGTATATTCAGGTTCATTGATTCACGCCCAGGAAAATGCATCTGGACTCACCTATTAAAGATACCTAGAATTATAAAATAAGGTCAAGTTCTCTGTTATTTACAGTTCATTAGTCACTTCACAATACAGAAATGAAGAAGTTGTTTATAAAATTTTGTATGTTCTAACATTTTTCTTTAGTGGTTCCCATTTTTCACTATAACAGCTTTTGTGGAATACCTGGTCACCATACTAGGGTTTGTTGAATTCTGATGAAAAAAATTGTCTGACAAATGCCGCTCTCTTTTTCTGATTATGAATTGTTCATAAACCTCTCCTGACTTGTTGGAATGTATATGAATAATTTAAACGGATGAATTGCAGCCAGTGTGCTATGTTAAATAGGTCACTTTGACTATTCACAGTATGCACCTTATAAGGACAAATTATGTGAGCCCTTCACTCCCTACATGTTTTTCTCTTGACTTCAAAGGAGTACTTCTGTGAATAACTTTATCCTAATATAAATAAGACATTTGTAGTCTGGTCCATAGTGTCATTTGGAAATGGCCTGCTGAAATATTTAAAATGAAAGAACAATGAATAATAAATCATAGTGAATAGGTAGGCTATCATCAGACATAGCACAAATAATCTCTAACGGGAAAGGTATCTGTCTTCCAGAATGTGAATGACAGAAGATGGATCACTTGATAATTGCCACCTTCTGTTCACTCCCTCCAAAGCTGTTGTCACACAGCAGGATATTGAGCTAGTAGACCATTGGTCTGACTCTGTATGGCTATTCTTATGTTCGTATATGTGTATATTGATTATTTCTGTCTCTGCTTTCTAATGAATATTTCCAGGGTCTGGCATAAGATGCTGAGTAGGAGAAAAAATTCAATAAGCATTCAGTCCGAGGTTTCATTTAAGGCTAAACAAGCTAATACAAAGTAACTCATTTTGGCACACATACAGAGGCATCCCAGATATTGTTAATGAGTACATGAAGTTATCTTGTTCCATCTGGTAGGACATTTCTCAGACAAGCACAAAATTTTGACTTGGATAGAAATCTTCTCTGGTTCAGTGTGTTCCCTGGTGTCGTCATATTTTAGCCTAAATATCTACAACATATTAGGGTCATACATGGTATATATTTATTTCCATATGCAGAAAGCTCCCATCCTGTAGCTTTGTGTGATTGTGCAAAATTTAAATTATATAAAAAATGCACAACCATAAATTCAAAATACGGACAAGTTATCCAACCCAAACTATACAAACTAAAAAAAAAAAAAAAAGCCCAAAATAAACAGCAGTAAAATAATAGCTCCCAAATCTTGCTATTCTCAACCATCAGCCCACCCTCTTATCAAAATCTTAAGAAAAACATTGGATTTTCCCACATGCCTAAGGTTAACCAATCCTGGTGCAGACTGCACATATGCGACCAAGCCCCAGAATTAAGCACCCATCACAGAAAAAGATGTCACCACTCTCCTTAATTTTAAACCAGGAAATGTTAACTCATTATATCTGCTAACCACAATTTAGGTGGTAATATATAGAGAGAACGGCCTTTATGGTAGGCTGGCCATGAACCACTTAGGGTTTGACAGTGGTAAATCGTGTGCTAAGCTGCACATAAAAGTTTACCAACATTTTAATATTCCATTCTTGGAGTCTTTCTGATTCCTAGACAGGCAAGGCTGTCTGATTTGGTGATTAAAAAATTTGGTTCTTTTTTTCCTTTCTCTATTTTTTAAATGTCAGTCCTTATAGCTGCAATAAAATTAAATACAAAATAATTTACAAATCAGAAGCAGAACTTAAACAAGATTTGCTTAACCCTGACTGTTATCATGGAGCTGTAATCATAAACATAAAAATGAAACATTCTGCCCAGGAGCATGCATATGATATGCATAATATCAACAGTCCCAAAAGATCACATTACTCAGTTCTCAGTACAATTTGGATCTACTTGAAATTTTTTTGATAGGATGATTTTATGTCAAAAAATTCAGTTTAATCAAAATTGAATTGTTTTATGGTAAATAGGATGAAATTCAATAGGGACAAATACAAAGTACTCCACTTAGGAAACAACAATACATTGCACACATACAAAATGGGAAATGACTGCCTACGAAGGAGTACTGTGGAAAGGGATATAAGATTCATAATGGCCCACAAACTAAATATGATTCAGCAGTGTAACATTGTTGCAAAAAC